ACTGCTATCAATACAATTGACCACAAAATCCTAATAATTGTCTCAATTTTTTCTCTCAACGCCTCCAATTGATTGATTAAAACTAATGTCTAATTAATGTCTGTATTGTCTTCGTATGTGTGGATCAGATCGACAAATGGGACGATCAAAGAGAAAACGGGATTTTTCCCGGAAAGATATGATTGGTTTGCGAAACACATTACCAGTCATTCATTGAGTCTTTATTTCATTCATTTAATGTATTTTTAATTGTAATTCAGACCTAATTTTTACTCATTTAATTCATATATATATTTCTAATCCAATTAAACTTTGTTTAATTTACTCTTAAATTAATTTGTATTACACTTATAAAAGTCTGAATAAATAAAAGTGTTTTAATAACTTATAAATACATAATTTATTGACAAAAATAGTTATCATTATAAAATACTATTAATTATAATTAAGTTGTATTAGAATTAATTTTTATAATGATATACCGATTTCATGACCATATGTTGGACAGTGGAGACAATGGCACTCAAACCTATGGAGGCATTGATGACAGCAATAATCCAATTGATATGATATAAAAGTCGGATCCGTTTGTTGTCAATGTCTGTCCTGCTGTTGAAATACATGGACAACAGACCCACCACTGCATACACAATACCGGTGCCCAAAGCAATCAGCAAACGGTACTGTAGTTTTGTTGACTCAATTAGATTAGGGTTAATCCACTCAATACACTGTTTTTAATATTTTAATAGTATTTAAAATTATGGGAATTAATATTGAAAAAGTTTTTATAAGTAAAAGTAGTATATTTTTACCATAATTACAGCCAAAAAGACAATAAGTAGTGGTCCGACAATAGCGGTGAGAATTGCCTTGAAATCAGCCATAGGTTTATGATTTAATAATTACCCGATTGGTTTTGTTCGCTTGATTGACAATTGTATTGAAAAGTTTTATTGAGTTGTAATTAAAGTATATTTCATACAAACTATTCAATTGAAGTACAGAAAGTGATTTGAATTGAAATTTATGATAAATTGTTTGATTTGAAAAATAGTATTGAAGTCGTAATGAATTTGATATTTCAAACATGCAATTGAATAGTAAAATAAATAGTTATTTTTAATTAATAAATTTTTAATCATTGATTTATGCAATCAAAACAAACACCAAGAGCTAAAAAATGTCATGAAATAATTATGAATGGTATGCGTAACAAATAGTTTATAAAAAAATTTAAATAATTGTGCAAACAAAGTAATTAAAAAAATAACCATAATCATTATTAAACAAAAAAAAGTAATTAATTTATAANAAAAATGTCATGAAATAATTATGAATGGTATGCGTAACAAATAGTTTATAAAAAAATTTAAATAATTGTGCAAACAAAGTAATTAAAAAAATAACCATAATCATTATTAAACAAAAAAAAGTAATTAATTTATAATTACAAGAATTTAAAGCAAAATACATAACTTTATTCATAATTATTTTTAATCAAATCCCTAAACTTCTGGCCCGATATGGCATAACCGTAATACTTAGGGTAGAGATCCATTTGCTGGACGCCGAGCACATCGGCCGCGTGATACGGCCAGTGGGGGTTATTGAGAAAGGCCCGGCCCAACATCACCATCGATGCCGTCCCGTTGGCCACCAACTGATTGGCGTACTTCGGACTAAACACACCGCCGATGACCGACGTGACCAAACCGGCCTCTTTCTGCATACGCTCGCTGGCCGTCAACTGTACGGCATAGCTGTCTGTCAGCCGGTTGTTGGGGTCGTAAGGGGTGAGACCGCTATACCCGCTGCAGTCAACCATATCCAGACCCTTAGGCTTGAGTTGTTTGGCGAACTCGACGGCTGAGGGAACGTCCCAACCGTTACGCACGCCGTCGCTCACCGTAATCCTGGCGCCCAACACAACGTTATCGGGTATTACTTTGGCCACACTCTCCGCCACTTCCAGTCCGAAGCGCATCCGGTTTTGCAGACTTCCGCCGTAATTGTCTGTCCGCTTGTTTGTGAGCGGAGACATGAATTGGTGGACAATATAACCATGAGCGAAGTGTAGCTGAATTACCTACACGTGTCAACACGTATACAAGTAGTCATATTATATTGTGTTAATACTTATTGAATTAAAATGTATTTATTTCTCAATAATTAGTGATCAATACAGACCTCAAAGCCGGCCTTAACGGCTCTCTGGGCCGCCGCCGCGAACTGTGCCTTAATTTGCTCGATGTCTTCAATGGTGGCCTCTTTGGGAACTCTCCAAATGGTCTCATTATCATAGGCTATAGCACTGGGAGCCACAGTAGGCCAACCGCCCTCTTCATCGGGAATGGTGGCGCCGCCCTCCCAACCCGTTTTGCAGCTACCCTTACGGCCGGAATGGTTGAGCTGAATGCCGGCCACACCGCCGTACTTCTTGATCTCTTTGACAATGCGGGCCAACGGAGCGATGTGTTGGTCACCCCATATGCCGTTATCCGTTGGACTGATCAGTCCCTGTGGCGACACCGCCGTGGCCTCAGTCATCACCAGAGCGGCGCCGCCCATCGCGAAGCCCTGCAAATGTCCAAGGTGAAAGTCGGTGACCATACCCTCCTCGCTGGCCGACGTGGCCATCGGCGACACACTTATACGGTTCCTGAATGTGACGCCCCGTATGGTTATGGGTGTGAACAGTGCCGGCGCTGTCTTGTTGTTGGCGCCCGAGTTTCGCAATCGGTTTCGTTTTAATTTATTTTGTTTGTTATTATTTTGACCATTAATTGTCTCGTAATTCAGGAGACATATCGTCAGCACAAGCAATAAATTGCTGATGAAATTCATTTTGGAAAATAAAATGATAGCTTTGATTATGTTAGAAAGTATTGATATCACACAATATACAAAGTGTGATCACTTGTGCCGCACCTGTAGTCCGACTAAACGCTTATTGATTTGTGTAAAACTTTTTTGTTGAGTTTTGAGCAAAATTGAGTTCAGCGACGAAATAAAAAGGTTGTTTTTTGAATGTGAATTTAGCTTTTTATTTTAATTTTGCACTTCTAGTTAGTAATGTGGTCGGCCTTCTGGAGTGAAAGCCGATGATAGCATTGAACTTATTTTACATTATTATTATTACATACAGTATAATGTATGCACTTTTTTCATACTTTTGGAGGACTTTTTGATTGCGTAAATCTAAAAGTGATAATAATTTTAAGCTTGTATTTTAGTGCAAAATTAAATGATAACTATTTGTTGAATTATTTATACCCAAGAACCAATACTTCCACTGTTGTTGCATTTTAGTACCCTAATGAAACTTTTATAAGATTGCACTTGGCAACTCTGGTGCAAATTGTGCAATATTTAACATTATGGTCACTCTATCATTATACTTTTAAAGTGCTGCTTTTGAATACTAATGTATTGTGTAGGTATGGGTGCTCTGCTGCTATCGGGTAATAATAGGTTCACCGAATAGATAAAGATAACAAACAGGTACACTCTTTATTAAGACAAACACCAAATTAAAAGTATTGTTTAAAAGTATTCAATATGTATGCATCTCATTAATAATATTTGTAATTAAATCCATAATTAATAATTGAAATGCGAGAGAGAGAGAGAGAGAGAGAGATTTAGTGGAAAACATATACAGTCTAACTTCTCCATAATGAACGGCCAGTTGCACGACAAAAATGTTTATTATAGGGAGGGTTCATTCAAGGGAGGTTCTGTTATAGGTATAGAAAATCCAAAATTTATTTCAAAACCGTTCATCTAAGGAAGGTGTTCATCCAAGAGAAGTTTACCCAAGAGAAGTTGCACTGTACCAATAAGCAGTTATTAGAATAAAAGTTATAATTATAATATATATATATATTAAAATATAAAAATATTATGAATATTCTGTTGATTTGCATCAAAAGTGTTACAAAAATTTACAAATTAGTGTTATATGAGGACAAAAAAGTTTTGAAAGTGAGATTTTTTGCTTAATTGACAGATAAAAAAATTATAAACACGTTTGACAGCACCTGACCCTCACGTGATCTACACTATAGAGTGTACAGCACTGACAATACTGTCACTGAATTCCTGGTTATCTGTCAAATACACCGCCCATTCTTGTTAACCATTATTAAATTTATCCATTTATTTAACTTAGGATTTATAAAGTTAAATAAAACGCATATTTGTACTAATTATGCACTTGTTGTGTACTAGTTGTGCACTTATTGTATTTATTATCATCATCATTAATTGTATTTATGATGTATAATTTTTAAAAATAATTATTTCTCATTATTTAAATTTATTTATAGACATATTTTATGTGTCAATTTTAGAAATATCAAGGTTTTTATAATTATATTTTACGATAAAAATTATTTGCACCAGAGTTGCGGTGCAAATTACGCAAATCAATTAAGCATGGTATTAACTTTTAACACGATGTTTTTATTTGTACATAATTAATGTAATAAATTTATTTTTCATTGTTATTTTACAATAATTGAATATTGTAACCAAAATTACAATTAATAACATTACAATTAGTAACAATTAATAATAACTTTGTCACCATTAATGAGACTATTAATAAGACTATTAAAACCCAATTAATAACGAGTAGTATTTCTCAATAATTCCCGCCACTCTCTATCCCCGATAACATAGCCGTATTGGTCGGGATATTGAACACTATTGTGAGCGCCCAACACATCGGCCGCGTGATAGGGCCAGTGGGGGTTGTTTAGCAGCGCCCGACCCAACATCACCATCGATACCGTGCCGTCCCTCACAATCTTATCGGCATATTTCGGGTCAATTATCTGTCCGACGGCTGCCGTCATAATACCGGACAGTCGATGGATGAGTCCGGCGGACGGCACTTGAAATGTGTATTTATTCATACCATTAGTCTGCGATCGCGGGACCAATTGACCCGAACTGCACGACATAAAGTCAACGCCCAATGCCTTCAACTCTTTGGCCAACTCTATGGTCTGCGGTATATCCCAGCCGTTGGACACCAAATCGCTGACCGATACCCTCACACCCAATACAGTGGTGTCGGGCAGTGTTTCCCGGACGGCGCCGGCGATCTCCAGCGCCAAACGCATCCGATTCTCAAGATTGCCGCCATATCTGTCGGACCTTTTGTTGGTCACCGGAGACAGGAATTGGTGCACAAGATATCCGTTGCCAAAGTGCAGCTCAATTACCTGTGCTTTTGGGATGTGATTTCTTAAATACTAAATCTTAAGCTATATTAAACAATGTCTGGCCACTGACCTGAAAGCCGGCCTTAACAGCCCTATTGGCCGCCGCGATAAACGCTTTTCTAACATCCAATAAGTCATCAATAGTGGCCTCTTTTGGCACTTTCCAGATTTGATTACCAAAGGCCAGAGGACTCGGCGCTATCGTAGGCCAACCACCCTTACCATCACTCAGGGACTCGCCTCCGGCCCAAAGCACTTCGCAACTGCCTTTGCGTCCGGAGTGACCCAATTGTATGCCAGCGATGGCACCGAAACTTTTGATTTGGTCCACAATACGGGCGAAGGGGCGGATGTGTTGGTCCGACCAAAGGCCGCAATCACTGGCACTGATCCGACCCTCCGGTGTGACAGCCGTGGCCTCAGTCATGACCAAAGCCACGCCTCCCAACGCGAACGACTGCAAGTGACCGAAATGAAAATCACTGGCCATACCGTCGCGGCTACTGTACATAGACATAGGTGTGGCGCATATCCGGTTCCTTAGGGTAACATTTCTGATGGTGAGCGGTGTGAACAGCGCCGGCACTTTGTTTACCAAGCTCAGTTTGTTTTGCTCGTCATTTAAGGTGTCATTTACTGATTTACTGTTCACTACAGCGAGTGTTATGTAAACCAAAATCAATAGCCATTCATAACTTCCTGTGTTCATAGCTTTTTGGTTACAGAGTTTTAGCTAAACTTTTGTTTAAATCAATAGCTTATTGTTTGAAAGCAATTAATTAGTGATTGATTTGTGAATTTCCTATTAATTGTCTCCCAATATATGTGTCCTTCTGTTTGGGAGTTATATTTACGGCAAATATAATCATAAAAAACACAATTTCATTGAATTTATTCATTAGTCGCTTAAATGGATCACTCGTTTGACTTGATTTATGTCTTTATTAAATAATTTTTGCGTAAAAATAATATTAAAAATTGTTATTAAAAGGATTTTCATATTAATTTAAAATTTTTATTTAGTTTTTCCTGCAATAAATTTTTAAAAATAACTTTAATTATAAGTTTTAGTTTTGTTTCGCGTTTATTATACAAAACTACATAATAATAAATATTTCTCGGATTAAAATCATTGAATTTCATTTTATTAAAAGTTATTATTTAAAAAGTAATCCATTATCTCAATGACTGATCAAATGAACAAATTATAAACAATTTTAGTTTTCTTGTATGAATTCACATAATAATAATTGTTTGAAATGAATGCGAAAAATAACATAATAATGTCATTTAATTTTATTTTTATTAATATTTAAATTAATTTTTAAAAATTATAAAAAGCAAACTCTTTGAATGTAAGCCAAAACTTCTATCAAATATCAATTGAGAGAAATATTTAATTAAAATTTATTAAAAATTTATTTAATATTCAAATATAATGAGATTTAGCAAAAAAGAATTTAAATTAACAAATTATTTATCAGGCAGTAAACTTTACTAATTATACAAGCTAAATTTAGCTGTAGTAAGTTAATCAATCTATGTGATAAGTTTTATAAATATTAAATATAAATATTGCTGAAAAAATTGACAAACATTTCATAATAAAGTCACAGACATTATAACAAACAATACATTTATTACAACACGTATTGTAATGTAAATTTCAAATTGAAAATAACAAAATACTTTAATTTAATTGCAATTTCCGGGTGTGTTATGGCAACAGGTTTTGCAATGCCCTAGGTCTAACCATATCACCTGTCGAGACTGTACCTGTGCTATGAGCAATATTGTTACCTCCCTCACCGACAGCCCCTCCCCTCCCGATTTGGGAATTTTGTTATTTTAAAAATAATACAGAAATATAAAAAATTTGCATTTGTTTTCATCGCCATTCATGTGAACTCCTGTTTTCCTTCAGACAATGAAATAACTATTAAAACAAATGATTAAAATCACGGAATATTATAGTAATTTAAAATAAAAAAAGTTTTTCCTCTCATTATAATTATTGTTTGTTTTAAATAAATTGTTTATTTCATTGCATTATATATTTTGTACGCTTTGTAATAAAACATTAATTTTAATGATTATATAAATTATAGCGAAATATATCAATGAGTTTATCAGCCGTACAGTAGTGGCGGTCGACGAGTGGTTTTTGCAGTGGATTTTTTGCCACCAATTATTAACAATCAAACAATTATTGTTAAACTAAACGTACAATTCATAGGCGAAGGACTATTAAGTGTGTTTGAAGTGCACCACAGACTCACTGAGCGATGATCTGAGGACAGGGATCGCGGACTTCAATTGTGATCATATATTTGTGTGCGCTTTCAATCTCGAGATAGACCTTACGATTAAAGGTAACATCAATTTAATTGTTTTCATAACATAACAATTTTAACCGTAATGCTATGCCGTAATCCCATTGCCCCCAAGGATTTACATACGAGATAATCCTTATTGTTATGATAAGACCTTTACGATTAGAGAGAGAGAGAGAGAGAGAGAGAGAGAGAGACCCCTAATCTTATGTCAAAGTCATGCTTACATATGATTATGATAACTATTATAGAGAACCACATCATTGAATCGTTTATGTATTCAAATTAAATGTTTGACAGAAGTTTTTTCATAGGAATAGTGATCTCAAGGTTTGAAAACCTATTCAAATGTGAGATGAAATAACACATCCTTTAGACAACTCTAAAGTGTAGTGCTTTTGCACTTTTCTTGGGACCAGTTTTCATATCATTAGTACACCTTTGATATTAAAATCCACTTTTAGTATCCCTTTTAGTACCAGTATTGCAATCTTCGAGAGACAGTCTTCAATTCTCTCTCTCTCTCTCTCTCTCTCTGGCCAACTCCTCGTAAGAGCCGTACGCTTTGGTTATGTTGTGACGTTTGGCGAAGTCCTGAGCGCCAGTTAGTCGTCGGGAACCCACGGCAACAAACTGTGTGCCAAATGAAAATGATGTGGTTCTCTATAATAGTTATCATAATCATATGTAAGCATGACTTTGACATAAGATTAGGGGTCTCTCTCTCTCTCTCTCTCTCTCTCTCTCTCCTCATCCGAAGGCCATCCATAAACGAGAGACAATTTTGCTATAAATTGCAATCCTCTCCACAATCAAGAGTTTATTCAATCGTTAAATTTGTGTTTAAAAAAATCATTTTTAATATTTTCTTTTAATTAACGTTTGCCTCCAATAAAAGTGCTATTTTTGTACATTAATTGTAAATATATTATTGTTTTTTATTTCACATTCAGCGATAAATCAAATACAAACAGACAATGCGTTTTGAATTAATTGTATTATTTTGTCTGTTTTCGGCTATTGTTTGGGCGGAAAAGTATGTGATATTTTGAATTTTCTCTTATTTTACAATTGTTTTGATATAACAACCAATTTATACATATAATTGTTGGACGATTTGGAGCATAAAAATGCTAATTTTCTCATTTAATATTATATTGTTATCGCAATTGTATTGTTTAGGCCTAAAGATGGTAAGAGTAGAAGAGCCCGGAATTACAAGCCAAAGACCCAGAACATTCAAAATGCACGTATGGTTAGGTATGATCAAGTTTTATTTTTGCTATTTGCCCATGTTTACGCATGTTATCCTTTAGTTTTATCTTTGTAAATCAATTTGTTTTGCTATTATAAACAACACACGATTGTGTTTATCCAGACTATTCTCCACCCATCGATTATAATAGTTTTTATACATAATTTTTATACTAAACTTACATTTATGTTATATTTGTTTAATTATGGTAAAAATGGCTTTGAAAATAAAAATAGCAATTTTATTATTGAACGGATGTTCAGTATTTAAGGCAAACAAATACTGGATTTTAATTATATATTTCTTGTAGAGTTATAATTAAATATGATTTTTATTATTATATTAAACTAAACAAAATGAAACTATATTTTGGCACAATTTTTATTATAAAATATTGTTCGCATAATATCTGTCGTAATATATTTCACAAATAAAAATTTTAATAATTAATTTCATTAATAAATTATTAGGAAATGTATACAAAACAGCAAAATTTAAATTACAAAATACTTTCATTGAATTTACTCACAGAGCGCTATAAATTGAAAGTAATTTACATTTGGTTACAAATATGTCATTTCCTAATTATTTATAAATAATAAAACAGATAAATTAGTAATTTAAAATTACCATAAATATTTACACTACACACAATTGTTCAAGCAACATTTTCTTTCTCTCTACATCACCCAGAATAATAAGCAGTAAACTGAATGACCCGGTTGTTTGCAATTGCATGCTTACCAGTGTTAGAAAGTTTCAAAGTCCGGGAGTTTTAGCAATAAAGAGACAAAACAAAGACATTTTTATTTTAAAGTTTAAAATTCAAAATTATATCAGTTTCAATACCACTTCGGTTACCCCCCGTTTGCCCCACAGTAACAGACGTGATGATCAGTGCATACCTGTCCCCCCATTCGGCTCCTATAGCCTCCCAGTAATTGTCATCCAATACACTCATTATTACCTATTATGACATTATTATTATATGTAAAGTTATATTACATGATATATTATACTTTTCCATACAATTCTTATACATGTATATTGTCTTATATATGGAAACACTATACTTTATAAGAGAGAATATAAGTGCCGAACCCATACGCTGTACACTTCAGTATTGCTCTTACTTTACACTCAGCCAGTCCTAAGTGCCCGCAATGTCTTCCTTTCATTCTCGCATACATTTTGAATTAATTGTATTATTTTGTTTGTTTTCGGCTATTGTTTGGGCGCAAAAGTATGCGATATTTTGAATTTACTCTTATTTTATACTTGTTTTTATATATCAAACAATCTATACTTTATAATTGTTTGATGATTTGGAGCACACATACACTTAATAAACTTATCATCGGCACAATTGTGCACTAATTTGACTCATAAGTTTGACTTTACAATTAAAACAATTATTTAATTAATGTTTAATATTTAAACATACAGTAATGAAAACGCGCCGCTCAGGTGGGGTATTATGGGCGCCGGCAAAATCAGCAATGACTTCGTGGCCATCGTTAAGACTAATCCCGCACATCAGGTAAGGCATGACATGACATGTCTTCAGGCAAACAATATATAAGTTATAACACAAAAATAACAATTATCTCATTTGGCACACAGTTTGTTGCCGTGGGTTCCCGACGACTAACTGGCGCTCAGGACTTCGCCAAACGTCACAACATAACCAAAGCGTACGGCTCTTACGAGGAGTTGGCCAAAGACCCTGACGTTCAGGTGGTATACGTCGGGACCGTAAACAACGCCCATTTGGCTAACGTTAAGCTATTGATCGAAAACGGGAAACACCTTCTCGTGGAGAAACCGCTGGCCATGAACTCCAAGCGTAAGACAATACTACTTGACTTAACCATAAAATCACCACTAATTACAAAAAATCTCAAACAATTATCTCATAACCACTGAAGAGGTGGAAGAGATGATAGCGTTGGCCAAACACAAGAAGCTGTTCTTCATGGAGGCGTTGGTCACACGATTCACGCCGTCGTTTGTCTTCGTGACGGATCAGATCCGTCGCGGAGTGATCGGTCAGGTGTATCACGTGAACGCCGGTCTCGGCTATCACATGATTCTGGAGGACAGAGTGGCCACCAGAGAGTTGGGCGGCGGAACTGTATTAGATCTCGGAATCTACGCCATCGGTGTGGCCGACGAGGCCTATGACGGCGAGATGCCCACCAAGATTGAGGCCATCGGCCAACTCAACGACAACGGCGTGGACCTGAACTTCGCGGCCAATCTTAAGTACGGCGGCAATCGTACGGCCAGTATATTCGCCAACAGTTTACTACTGTTGCCAAACGAGGCGTTTATTGTGGGCACTAATGGCACGATTCGGGTATAGATTTAGTGTTATTTTATACGCGAAAACTTTTTTTAAACAATTTGTTGACCAAAAAATGCTGTTTTTTATCCGATTGTCTGTAGATTACGGCAAACTTCAAGTCGTCGGAGAGAGTGTACGTGAATGGTGTGGTCCATGAGTTCCCGTTCCCGAAGACCACAGAGTTTCTCAATTACGGCGATAGTCTGGCGCTGAGGTATGAGGCGGAAGAGGTCCGCAAATGTATTAATGAGGGAAAGATTGAAAGCGAAAAGATGTCACACAAGGACTCCATTGTTATGGCGAAGATTGAGGACGAGATCCGCAAACAGATTGGCGTTGTCTTCAACGAAGACTCGTAAACAATGGCTTAAAATTATTATCATTATTATTATCGATGCAATTATATTGAAATTATGTTTGGTTTATTTATTGATTTTTAATTATTTAATTGAATATCATTTGTGTTTATTAAAATTTATATAACATCTAATTTGTTTTAATTATTTGACAATACTTTCTATACTCTAGCATAAAATTAATTTTATTGATTACAAAATAAATTATATAAATTATTAATTAATAACTATTAAAATAAATGATACTTTACTACAACAATAATTACAATGCGTTAACTAATAAATTTGAAAATACGAGCCATGATAGACATTAATATATGAATTGTTAGTATAAGTATAATGATTATGATTAAAATAAGTATGGATTGAATGATATAAAATATGCCGTATAATGATTTATACATTATAACATCGCATTATAATAGAACTAATTATATCGAAATAGGTTTTATAAGTTAAAACAAAGTGAATAACATTTTTAAAAATATAAATAATTAATTTTAATTTTAAAATCAATTTTCATTAAATAAGTTATTGTTAGATAAATGAATATAATTTATTTGATGAGCGCATGATGATTATCATTATAAAACATTGTTAAAAATACTCAAATTATAGTTTAAATTATTATAACAGTTAAGCATTTGTTAAAACATTTGTCATATAAACACTCAATCTATTCAACAAACTCTGCATTAGTTTTACTATTAGAAAAGTTTTGAAACAAATAACGGGTATTCTCTGCGAAGATGGCAACTGTGGCCACACAAGCCTTTCAACAGTTGTCTTCTATCAATGTATTGCAACCATTGGTTGGTTTGGATGCATTCAAACGGGCGCTCAAAGTGTTTGACATGTCTTTCATCGGATATGAAGTGATTTCTCCACAACTCTATCAACAAAAGCGCACAGAATTTATACAATCGATGGAAGAGTTGTTTGACATTCAGGCGCCGGAAGACATGAACGCTATTAATGCCGCGATTCAGGAGGAGATCACAAACGAAGAGATCACTGTTAAGGTGTCTGTCATTAAATTTAAAGAGACTATAATTTTGACTGAAAAGACAAACAGAAACTTAGGCATTACTTTCGCACCCTATGGCCCACACTCTCCACTCTCGCCAATCCAGCCCCGAGAAGACGGACACTCGCACTGTCAGCTCATGTTTACGATCACATCAGCAAATCTGCGCCAAATACGTATCGATGGCCAGCGGTTAGTGTTAGTCGTGTTTGACTATTTCACGGAGTGGTCCGAAGAATTTGAGATCAGTTACAGTAATATTTCCGCCGAAGGATACGAAGATTGGGTTCAATTCGGAGTTGGATTTAAATTATTATTCAAAATAAGTTTTGAGATACCAAATGAATTAAATGCTTATGAATTTCTCCCAATTAAATTTCATTCACAAACACTGGATCTAATGGTCAACAAAAGACTTGACCACTTGAGGGCACACAATCAGACCATCAGCTCTGAACATACCATATCAGCGACTAAACTCAGAGTTTCGTATATTAAACCAGTCTTAAGTCAAATAACTGCTCAATCGTTTTGGTCGTCAACACCCGTCCGATCCATACAACAAATGGTACACGAGTTCAGAGCGGAGGCCGATAGAGATTCTCGATTAATGCCGTCTCAAGTGGTGACCAAAACAGTCAAATACTGTGATTTGCAAATTGGGTTCAGAGAGTGGCACGAGTTTGAGGACAGTGTCTGCCTCTGCAGCGAATGGTGTAATTGGAACGCATTCTTCCACTTCAACCCTATCTATCGGTTTCTTATGGTTCAACACAACCGACTCTATCTCACAAATCGGACACTCGTTCCCGTAATGTACACCTCATTAGCAACAGAAGTGGCCACAAATGACTTGAATACCGAAATTCTGCCCAATTCACCGCTTTTTAAACTAATATTTTGTGTCAATACTTTCCCGTTGCCGACAATTGAAGACAAAACTCTTGAATCATTAATGTAAGTCTTTCATTCTCTCTCTCTCTCTCTCTCTCTCTCTCTCTCTCCGTACAAATATAATGGCAATAATAGGAGAGAGGGTTTCGCCCAAAACAATACACCCAGTGTTACACCCAATACGTGAATAACAGGCCATTCATTGCATATACTTTTCGCTGAATATCTATTTATTTCACTATTAATTGTGTCATAATTTTTGTGTGAATTAAAGCCGAAAAATGCGCACAAAAACAAAGTTTTACACTTTTAACTAAAATAATAGCATTTATTTTCATATAAACAATACGTAAACCCCTTTCCTATTGTCATCACTTGACTGTTCAGACAATTGTATTGTTTTGATACTTGTGTTGAATTAATAGTGTTTTAATAAATCACCAGATTTGATAACTTTAGTTATTTTGTTTGTAATTTGAATGTGAAAATGAATTTTGAGTTTTAAATTTAGTTTAATTTTTTAGTCCTATGTCTTTGGCCGACTTAATGGAGGCGATGAATACCATTTGGTGGTTCCACTTATGTAATAATTAATAATAATAGTAATAGTAATAAATTCATTGAATTAGGGCTTTACACAAAGGATGACCCAACTCTGCCATTAAATAAGATTAATTTGATTTTTCTTTCGCACCGGTATCTGAGAAAACAAGCGAAACACACACCTGTGCCGTGTTTGACATGTCGTCATGTGTACCCGCAGGACCAGCATAAGAAATGCCCTGATGAATATACTGTAAGCAAACCGTGTATATCAGGTTATAAGTAGCGTTGCCAAATAATATTTTGAAAATCCTGTATAAATGTATGAATATTGCCAAAAATGCCTGTATTTTCCTGTATTACAGCTTATTTTCAAAATATTTATTCCTGTATTTTTCAATTTTTCAATGCAAATTTTATTTTAATCTGGGCCTTTTTAATCTAGGGTAATTGGGCGGAATGGATACTCGAGTGCACAGAAATCCCAAAGGCGATCACAAAGGTCGTGGTACAATTTGGTGGGTTTTGTATTTACTGTGGATGTCAGATGGGCACACATCACGGGCACATCGAGTAAGTAATCATTTTTCATATTAATTAAAATGTTTACATAAATTACTACCGGTTTATAATCTCATGAATTTGTACCCAAAAAATCTAATCGCAACAAAAATTGGGATTAAATGAGAAATTTAAATATAATTACCAAACCTTTAATACATTTAATGTTTTGATTTATTGAATTTTAATACGAATTATTTCTCAATCTATAGCTCTTGTTATGTCACCAATCAATTGCTACACGCGTTTCCCCCCAAGATTACACTCAAGACTATTCGTGTGTTTAATTCAAGTGTTGACACTATTTTTGCCCAAAATAGCGGTCACGAGTTTAGGTTCAAACTTGAGAAGGATATGAATGGAAACGTTATATAATCTAAAATTATATTTATTGTCAGATTTTTCCAAATTATTTCGATTTTTAAAACAATAAAAAGTTTTGCAAATTAAATTATTAAAAATTTTCATTAATTTAAACCATGTTATAATAAAAAATGCAATGTTTTATATATGAGATACACTAATAATTTGATAGCAAAGCAAAGTGTGGTTTCCGTTGTTAACGTCGAGAAACCCCGAGAATAGGAAATGCGAGCGAATTGTCTTCAATAACATCAGCGATGGTCTGGACTTTGAGTCTATGTATGGATTAAGTGCTGAAAAAATGGATAATAAAATATATGACATAATTATGTTTCGCAGACAAGAGTCGGGCGATCGAGTGGTCGGCAAATACCGATTGGACGGCAAAAGTAAACTGGTAGACACGGGAGGCACCAATTCATTCACATACTTCTTGACCACTGATCACAACAAATATCTGACCACATATTCGTGCAAATCATACAGCGATGTTTTTAAGCTAGATCATTTTATAATCAATTATAATGTTAATTGTGTGGTTAGAGTTGTATACAGTATACGGCGCGGAAAAGAATACACATGTTAGGGATTATTTGAGAAATTTCACTAAAATTGCCGGAAATATGACCAAATCTGTCCACTTTTACGACGTCGACCAAAGCGGCTGCAAATGTATGACACGGTCTCTATTGTGTTAACTAATTGATGATTAATGAACTATTAAATACCATAAGCATTCGCTCCGGTGGCCAATAAGGACTTTGTGTTTATTGAGGACGATCTCTATAGCGTTGAGTTTGCAAAAGTATCATTTCATTTATCAAATCATTTACGATTTGTTGTTATTATTTGTATTTAAAATTAATTAATTAAATTGTTTGCATTATTTTAATGGACAGCTTCAGGGAAATTGGGTCCAAAAGGCCACAACACTCAATACAAGTGATCACTTTTATTTGAAATGCACGGCCAAAGTGGTCGGCTCTAAGTTAGACACATACTATTAGTGCAATGGACAGCTTCAGGGAAATTGGGTCCAAAAGGCCACAACACTCAATACAAGTGATCACTTTTATTTGAAATGCACGGCCAAAGTTGTCGGCTCTAAGTTAGACACATACTATTAGTGCGTTTAAATAATCATAAATTGTATTTTTTTGTTTGGATTATAATTGTGTTTCAATTGCATTCACAGTCACTCTCAAAGTACAATCAACAGCAAGACGTCGACAATCGGTAACTCGAGAGTATGTCTGCGAGACTTTGCAAACGCCACAAATCCTATCAAACTATACGACTATCGACTGTATTTTGACGGCCAGTACTTAATCACATTTAGCGTACCGTTAAGTACCGACTCCTCTACCACTCCTCGTGAGTATACTGTACTTTATATCCCAAATGCAACATAAATTGACATAAATCTATGGACACATATCCCGGGAATGCGAAGCCTATCTGGAAGTGGTTATGAAAGACCATCAAAAGGGCGAATCCGACTTTGATTTGATAACACGGTATGACATACTGTTGAATAGATTGCGTCCAAACGCCCGCAAAATAGTCGAGTCATTCATCTATGATCTCAACTATAAGGACGAAGAGAACCCAAACGCCAATACGATTCTCAAGAAGTGCAGCATTCAGTTTTATTAATTGTAATAAAAGTTGGTTTTAATTAAATATTCACACATAATATACGGTATATATTTAGTAAATATGTTTATTTGTCATATTTTAATGTTATAATAATATTGTTAATAAGAATTAGTTTAAATACAATGTAATTAAGCGTATATTTAATAAAATCACAACATTTATGCTATTAATAAATAAAATTCTTGGACATTTTATTGTAATTTATGATCATTGTGTTATAAAATCACTTAAAATAATAATTAACACAATATTAGTTATTAGTTATAAATTGATTACAAAATAATTAACAATTTTTAGAGTTATATCTATTTAAGAGTTCGTATGATTTGTTTGTTTCATAATTAACTGATGCGGACATAAAACCAGTGAAAATAAAGGGCAATACCGTTAAGATTAAGCCATAAAATACAATTATCCGTAGGATTAATGTTATTGTTTGAAATATGAGTACATATGCGAAAATACACGCTATTGTACTCAATAGTGACCACAGAATCGCTATATATTGCGACCAATAAGTGGTGTTATAATCATTGATCTCAATATAAATTTTGTTTAATAAACCGATGGTTTTCTTAATGTAAACGCAATCAAAGTGTTTGTCGATAACAAGCCTTTTATGCAAATCATTATTAATTACACGTATTTTGCATTTCATATACAAACAAATGAGATAAAAGTGAACCAAAAGCCATAGGGTTTGAGCAAAACAATAATAGTCCATAAATGCGAGTAGAAATGCTTGTGGTATACCATATAGAATAATTTGCATCATGGTACATTTGTGCATATATGAAATTAACGCATACAATACATATATAGGCGGCGAATGGATTTGTATAATCCTAATCGTGTTAAACAAAACACGTGATCTCAGCGACAATAACCAAACCAAACGGCTATTATTGAGATGGATTTGTGCGGGAGTTATATAACCGGCAAACATATCAAACAACGGCATAAATGTGGCAATTATTCCCAGTTTATAGTTATAATAATATAATATACGAAATAATATATTCATTATTATCCATAGAATAATGAGATAATTAATATGATTGGAAACGCCCTGAAGGTATGCCATATCGGCCAAAATTACCTTGATCACGTGATGTTCGGGTGGTATAAATAGCGTAACGATAATAATTTGTATCAAATATACCGATAAACAGGTATTGATTACAATTGGTTTGTGAATAAATTGCCGATAATTTGTATTTTCATATTTACTATACGTATAACACAAACCGATTTTATACAATTGACTGCTCGCTGAAGTTGTAGTGAATTTGTCGGTTAAAACTTGATTTACATTAATTGAATTCATTTGTAATATGATTTTAAACATACTTTAAAATAAATGATTGTTTGAATGAATTTGATTATTTGCAATAACTTTAATAAAAGTAAAATATTGTGATTTATATAAGATTTTCGTATACATAACATATGGTTTTGATAAGTTTGTTCACACAATAATTATTTTAGTTTTACAATAATAAATATTGTAATTAAATAACAATACAATAATTAAATTAGTTTTATTTTTAGTTTTTATTCTACGATATCTTAATTACAAAGAGTAGACATAATATTATTTATTGATTAATTTGTGTTATTGTTTACTTGATTTTATTTTCCAAACAGAGAAACAAATATTTTGATTCTATTGTGAAATAAATGATATTTTAATTACATTTTCATTATTAATAGAATACACGAAACTTTTGTTATAATTATTAATTGAATGTATAAATCAATGATAAAACTGTTGGCGAATGTGTTATTTAACTCTCAATTATTTTCTGTTAACGAGTTTTTTAATCTCATTTATAATTTATACAGTAATTAAGTAATTGGAGACTCAAATAATACATAGAAAATATATGCTATTATTGTCACCAATGGATAGATTTTCAATTAAATGGCAATTAAGGAAATACTGGATTATAACTAACATAAAACGATTCAATAATCAGATATTAGAATAAGAATAAGTAAAAGTTAAAACAATTTGTTTGCTTTCATGCAAATAATGTTTAAAAAGTTATGAAATAAAATTATAATTAAAAACATAATTAAATGATTGAATAGAAAGAAAGTAAAAACAAATTATGAATTATTGCTATCATTTGGAAAATGGATTCACTTTTTTGACGAGTGGTTAGACTTCACATGCGATGAGCTCTTCGCGGGAACCGATTGTCCGGACATTAGTTTACGAAACAGTTCTGTCGATTCAGAGATAATAATCAAAATAAATTATAAGTTATAATATTATACACAATATTATAATTGTAATGAATATAACAAACCCTCAATCTGTGGCTCTTCTCTATCGTTAGCCGAGTAGAGACGACAATCAATTTTAGGGTAATTAATGACCACATTTTGAATGGCCTCTGGAGTGGGAACGGGACAACCAAACAGATGCATGTGTCGGATGTGTCTCAGTCTCGACAACGCGTTCAACAGTTGGTCTGTAATCACCACTCGATTGGCTCTTAGATACCGAAGTTGTGGCCATTTGTTGTGACAATTAATGAAGAATGAGTCGGTAAACGATGTGTCGACAAAAAATAGTTTCAAATGCGTTAATCGTTTCAATGAATTGAGTGAATGGGCGGACAGTCGTCGTGAATCCCAAACATTGATTTCCAAACGCTTTAATTGTTTAAAGTATTCATTAATCGCTTCAAACGTTTCCATTGAATGCGAGGTATCGACGGTTAAACTCTTCAGTTGTCGACACTTGTGACCAATTTGTGGCAATAAATTGTCCACAAATTCATTGAATTTTACTTTCAGTGCAATCAATGCCGGCATTCGTGACAAACTATCCGTTAGTCTGTTAACCATATAATCGCCGGTAAGTGAGTAAAACGTGAATCCAATTGTCTTAATATTGTGGTCGTATTTGTGAGCAAAAAAGTCAAATTCACTCAAATTAATGTCAATTAAGTGATCATTGGATTCATTGAATGTCAAGTGAATACTCGTGAGTCGTTTGTAATGCAAATCATTTCCCGGACTGAATGCGAGCCGTGTTTGCGACAAATCGGTAAACAATATGTGAATTGTTGTCAAATGAACGCACATTTCCAGCCATTCATACCTCATATCAATCATCCCATTGTGTTTCAAATCAAATGAAATGCTTGTCATTTGTTTCGCAAACTTTGCCATCAAATGACTGATCCAATGGACGTTGTCTTCGGACACTTTGAACGACACGTCATTCAACTGATGGCAAAGATTTGTAACCAAAAAAATCAATTCAAAGCTTTCGTATTCACTGCAAACGCGTCAAATGTTTGAACACTTCGTCAGTATTGACACAATTTGGCCGAAATTGTCGTCAATTAACTCTCTGTTGATATTCAACGCCAACTGACTCTTGAATACCACTCTTTGCCACTGTTTTGAGACACTTTCCCAACGAAACCGGTCTTTGAATGCCATATAAGACAACAACTCTTGGCATAAGTCGTCTCCAAATCTATCGAAAGAGTCTTTATTGTAGTTTTGAGACATTATTTGAGACAAAAGTAGTTAAAACTCAATTCAAATGACAATTAAAACAACTGTTTATCAAATGAAATGCAAACCAATTGTTTGACAACTTTTTGGGAGACAATGAATTACAGCACTGTTTATGTAATGATCTGTTCGTATATAACGTTACGAATGAAAAGTTTGTCGCGAAAAGTGTTAAAACAATTGAATTGAGATTTAATGCGAAAAACAGTCCCAAAAGTTATTGACGAGAAACACAATAAATGAGTTAATTTTAATTCAAATCTAAATTAACTTTTAAACTATAATTATACCAAAAAGAGTGGGCAAACAATGGTATTAACGTGTATTAATTGCCACACTCTTGAGACGGCTCACCACCGGTCGGGACCACACAATACATGGCACTGTCGGTGACGTTCAGCGAAACTAAATGTGATTAATAATTAGCGATTAACTACTTATCCAGAGGTGTATCGACTTTACATGAAATCACTAAATATACTAAACTATTCAAATTGTGATCAAAATCTGAAATCACTTATAACTCTCTATCAGTCAATGAAATTAATTCTTTATTAAACAAATGTAACAAATATTTGGATTAAAATATAATAAAAATTTATTATTAATTAAAACACAAAAAACATGCAAAAAATAACTACAATTTGAAAATACAATGAAATAAATTGTGAAAACATATAGAAATGTAGAATTATTTGCATTACGGTGGATTTATGCATATATGAAATTAACGCATACAATACATGTATAGGCGGCGAATGGAGTTATATAATCCTAATCGTGTTAAACATTATTAATTTAGTAATAATTTTAATATAAATTGTGACATGTGCCGGTTTCTAGGGCTACCATCTGGTGGAACAATTGAGCAGAGCCCGCAAGCCCGCATAACTGAACGATTATAAATATTAATTATCACTTATTGTAAATCATTGTATCATACTACAGATTAAAAGACTAAGTTTAAAATATTATTAATTTAATAATGATTTTTAATATAAATTGTGACATGCGCCGTTTTCTAGGGCTACCATCTGGTGGAACAATTGAGCAGAGCCCGCATAACTGAACATTTATATATATTAACTAGTACTAATTGCAAACGTTTATATCTTATTACAGATTAAAAGATCCAGTTTAAAACATTATTAATTTAATAATGATTTTTAATATAAATTGTCACATGCGCCGGTTTCTAGGGCTACCATCTGGTGGAACAATTGAGCAGAGCCCGCATAACTGAACATTTATATATATTAACTAGTACTAATTGCAAACGTTTATATCTTACTACAGATTAAAAGACCCAGTTTAAAACATTATTAATTTAATAATGATTTTTAATATAAATTGTCACATGGCCGGTTTCGAGGGCTACCATCTGGTGGAACAATTGAGCAGAGCCAGCATATATAAACATTTATAAATATTAATTATCACTAATTGTAAATCATTGTATCATACTACAGATTAAAAGACCCAGTTTAAAACATTATTAATTTAATAATGATTTTTAATATAAATTGTGACATGCGCCGGTTTCTAGGGCTACCATCTGGTGGAACAATTGAGCAGAGCCCGCATATATTAACATTTATAAATATTAATTATCACTTATTGTAAATCATTGTATCATACTACAGATTAAAAGACTAAGTTTAAAATATTATTAATTTAATAATGATTTTTAATATAAATTGTGACATGCGCCGGTTTCTAAGGCTACCATATGGTGGAACAATTGAGCAGAGCGCGCATATATGAACATTTATAAATATTAATTATCACTTATTGTAAATCATTGTATCATACTACAGATTAAAAGACCCAGTTTTAAACATTATTAATTTAATAATGATTTTTAATATAAATTGTGACATGCGCCGGTTTCAAGGGCTACCATCTGGTGGAACAATTGAGCAGAGCCCGCATAACTGAACGATTATAAATATTAATTATCACTTATTGTAAATCATTGTATCATACTACAGATTAAAAGACCCAGTTTAAAACATTATTAATTTAATAATGATTTTTAATATAAATTGTGACATGCGCCGGTTTCTAGGGCTACCATCTGGTGGAACAATTGAGCAGAGCCCGCATAACTGAACGATTATAAATATTAATTATCACTTATTGTAAATCATTGTATCATACTACAGATTAAAAGACCCAGTTTAAAACATTATTAATTTATTAATGATTTTTAATATAAATTGTCACATCCGCCGGTTTCTAGGGCTACCATCTGGTGGAACAATTGAGCAGAGCCTGCATATATGAACATTTATAAATATTAATTATCACTTATTGTAAATCATTGTATCATACTACAGATTAAAAGACCCAGTTTAAAACATTATTAATTTAATAATAATTTTAATATAAATTGTGACATGCGCCGGTTTCTAGGGCTACCATCTGGTGGAACAATTGAGCAGAGCCCGCATATATGAACATTTATAAATATTAACTAGTACTAATTGCAAACGTTTATATCTTACTACAGATTAAAAGACTCAGTTTAAAACATTTTTAATTTAATAATAATTTTAATATAAATTGTGACGTGCGCCGGTTTCTAGGGCTACCATCTGGTGGAACAATTGAGCAGAGCCCGCATAACTGAACGATTATAAATATTAACATACCATCTGGTGGAACAATTGAGCAGAGCCCGCATATATGAACATTTATAAATATTAATTATCACTTATTGTAAATCGTTGTATCATACTACAAATAAAAAGACCCAGTTTAAAACATTTTTAATTTTATAATAATTTTAATATAAATTGTGACGTGCGCCGGTTTCTAGGGCTACCATCTGGTGGAACAATTGAGCAGAGCCCGCATACCTGAACGATTATAAATATTAATTATCACTTATTGTAAATCGTTGTATCATACTACAAATAAAAAGACCCAGTTTAAAACATTATTAATTTAATAATAATTTTAATATAAATTGTGACATGCGCCGGTTTCTAGGGCTACTATCTGGTGGAACAATTGAGCAGAGCCCGCATATATGAACATTTATA